TGAGAATATAGGTAATAAATTGTAAATTTATGAACGAAATGAAATATTTCTCTCACTAAGCTTTGTATTCAAAAATGATATTAAATTGCAAATTTAATGGTAAAGTTAAACTTTTAAAGCTTGATAAAAACTAATTTTAAATTTCTTAGCCAATTAAGGCTTAGAAATTCTTATTCTATATTTAACTTTGAAGGTTAAAAGTTTAATTTTAACTTAAATCCTTAATTCTTCAAAGTTAAATTTTTCTCGTCCTTATTTTTTATTAAAAATAATTTTTGGTAAATTAAAGAATTAATTATTCAAAATTTAATTTTATTTATTTAAAATGCTAAATTTAAAAATTAATTATTATTGTACAATAAATTAATCCAGTTAAAGCTAATACATTAAAAAAAATTATTCAAAATTTTATAGAAAAATGAAAATTTAAGAGTATTTCTGTTTTAATTAAAAGAAACGCTGAAAAAGTTAATCGTATATAAAAAAATAATGTGACTAATGTAAATACAATTAAAATAATACTTAAACTAAAAAAATTTCTATTAATTAAACCATTAATAGTTAGTCATTTTGGAAGAAATCCCAAGAAAGGTGGTAGGCCTCCTAAAGATAAAAAATTTATAAAAAAGAAAAATCTAAATATTTTATTAGAATTAAAAATTAAAAATAATTGAGTAGTGAAAAAAATATTTAAATATCAAAAAATTACTACTAAATTTAAATTAATGATTGAGTAAACAATAAAATAAAAAATTCAAATTATTTTAAAATTTATTATTCTAACGAGTATCCAAGCAATATGATTAATGGAAGAATAGGCTAAAATTTTTCGTAATCTAATTTGATTAAGACCTATAATTCCCCTAATAATTGAAGAAAACACAATAATTCATGACAGAAAAAAAGTCATATTTAAATTGTATATGAAAATTACTATGGGGGCAATTTTTTGTCAGGTAAGCATAATAAATCTATTGCCCCAGTCTAACCCTTCTATTACCTCGGGGAATCAGGTATGGAAAGGGGCTGCTCCTATTTTTAGAAATAAAGAAGAATTTAAAATTATTATTAAAAAATTTGAAGAATTTTGGGGAGAAAATTCTTGAAAATTTATAGATATAATAATAGTAAATAAAAATATTAAAGAAGCTAAAACTTGAGTAATAAAATATTTTATGGATGATTCGGAGGGGAATAAATTATTTTTTTTTTGTTATTAATGGAATAATTGACAAAAGATTAATTTCTAATCCCAATCATATCCTAAATCAAGAGTATGAGGAAATTGTAATTAAAGTTCCTAAAATTAAAGTATTTATGAATAATATTTTATATAATTTTATAATTAAAAAGAGAAGAAGTGGAATCTTCATAAGTGGGGTATGAACCCAATAGCTTTATTAGCTTACCTTTTTATATCCAAGTATAAAGATGTACGTAAATTTTTGATATTTAAAGAAACAGTTTAATTCTGTTGGATATAGGCCAAATTGTGAAGGTGGGGGGGGCTCACATTTTTAATTCTATCAAAATTATCCTTTATTCAGGCACTTCACAGTTACAAATATTTCTTAAGTCAAAATAAGTACCTCACATAAAACTGATTGAAAAAATGACTCTTGGAATTTTGTATACAATTTTTTTGAAAAATCAAAGTCCAAAAAATCGATTGAATTTTCGATTTTGGGGCTTTTTTTTTTAAAATTTGCAAAAAAACCGACTTTAGAGAATCTTCGGCAAAGAAAAAAACTCGAAAAATGTTTTTTAATTAATTTTTTCTAAATAAAAATTAATGAAATACATATTCATTATTTATATATATATATATATATATATATTAAAATTTATATAATATATAAAAAGATAAATTCTAAGCAATATAAAGAAGTATTCAATATTTAATTGAAATATCGATGCCCTTACTGGATTAATATAAAACCCTAAATATACAGGAAATTTTAGGTATTCATTAAATACATATAGTGAAAGAGAAAGAAGAATATTAATAATTTAATTATCATTATTGAATGTCTATTAGATTCATAATAAAAATTAATATTATTTATTATATATATATATATAATTTTTAATAAACAGGCTAAAATTAATGAAAAAAAAAACCCTAATTTCCATTATTTGAATTTACGAAAAAACGAATATTTAAAAATTAAATTTGTTTGTAAAGCAAAAATTATATAGGGGCGAGATTTTTAATTTTATGTTGATAATTGATTTTTTTTATAAGGTAAGAAAAAGTAGTATTTACAAAATTTGAGAATATTTAAATATAAATTAATTTTTGATAATAATTAAAGTTAATTTATTTGGGTAGTGAAAGAGTACTAAAAAAATTCATTATCGGCTGGCGGGGGGGTAAAAGGATGCTAAAATAATTTATTAACAATTACTTATTAATAAAAAAATAAATTATTTTAATTATTTTTAAAATTTAGTTTAATTAAATTATAATATGTGATTAAAATAATTTTGTTAGGAATTACTTGCTAGGTAAATAAAAATTTGATTTAAATAATTTTATTAGAGATTGTTTGTTAAAGAGTTTAATAGGTGTTAATTAATTTAAATTATTTTTAAAGGGAAAAAGTTATAAAAATTTATAATTAATTTATATTTTGATAATTATATTTAATAAATTAAAATCAATAAAATTTATTCATAAATAAAGTTTATATTTAATTTTGCAGTAAATTAATGGAATTAAGTTATTCTTTTTTTTATATGCAAATTTTTGGTTGAAATTAAAATTATTATTTAAAAAATATTTTATGAATTTATTCGCAGTAAATAAAATTAAATTTTAAAGAAATTTAGATTTAGGAATAGAGTTAAATATTAACAAAATTTGTGCCAGCAGTTGCGGTTACACAAATAATATAAATTAATTTTTTTAGTAAAAGTTAGTTTTTAAAAAATAATTTTGTAATAAGATTTATTAGGTGAAATTTTAAATTTTAGATAAAATTTGAATAGTAAAATGAAGCTTAAAAATTTTAGTTTAAACTAGGATTAGATACCCTATTATTAAAAATGTAAATTTTTTTTTACTTAATTAGTATTAGTTATGTTCTTGAAAATTAAAAAATTTGGCGGTATTTTAGTCTTTTCAGAGGAACCTGTTCTATAATTGATAGTCCACGATTAGATGCACTTTATTTATTAGTTTATATATCGTCGTAGTTTAAATATTTTAATAGAATTGGAAATATTTAAAATTTTTTATTAAAAAATAAATCAGATCAAGGTGTAGTTTATAATAAAGAAGAAATGGGTTACAATAAATTTATTTAAAAATAATTTTTATTAAAAAAATTTGAATTTGGATTTGAGAGTAATTTTTTAAATTTTTTTAAGATGATTAAAGCTCTAAAATATGTACATATCGCCCGTCGCTTTCATTTTAAAATGAAATAAGTCGTAACAAAGTAGATGTACTGGAAAGTGTCTCTAGAAAGACAAGTTAGAGCTTGATAGAAGTATTTTATTTACATTAAAAAGTTAATTGTGAAATTCAATTTAACTTGAAAATTTATGTTTATTAAAAATTTAAGTATTTAAATTAAAAAAATTTAAAATAAGTAAATTTTTGTTTTATTATTTTTAGAGAAATGATTTTTATTATGATAGTTTAATAGTATTGTGAAAGAATAAATTATTTAATTTTAAGAAAAATTAATTTTTTGTACCTTGTGTATCAGGGTTTACTAAATAAAATAATTGATTATTTATTGTTTCGAATTTAAAAGAGTTAAAAATTTATTTTTTTATTGTTGTATAAATACTATTAATAAATGTTTAGTAATGAAATGTTATTCGTTTTTAAATATATCTAATTTTTTAAGAAAAAAATTTAATTTTAAATATAAATCAATAAAAATCTAAATTAATAATTTTTTATTTTTTATATTTTATATTATTAGGGATAAGCTTAATAATATAATTTTATTATTTAATATATATTAAAATTTAATTTGTAAGATTAAAAGTTTCTATCATAATAAAAATGTTATAATTTATTTATAATTAAATATTATTTATATATTATTTATAAATTTTTTATTAAAATAATAATTAAAATTTTTTAAATTAAGTAATAATGGTAAAATTAGTATAATTTTAATGTAAATTTATTTAAAAAATTTAAGATTATTATAAAGGAATTCGGCAAAATTATTTTTTACCTGTTTATTAAAAACATGTCCTATTGATTTTAATTTTAGGTCTAGACTGCCCTCTGAGGATTTAAATGGCCGCGGTATTTTGACCGTGCTAAGGTAGCATAATCATTAGTTTCTTAATTAGAAGCTGGAATGAATGGTTGGATAAAAAAATTTCTGTCTCTATTTAAACATTAAAAATTTATTTTTTAGTTAAAAAGCTAAAATTAATTTAAAAGACGAGAAGACCCTATAGAGTTTTATATTTAAAAATTTTAATTTTTTTTTAGTATAAAAATTTTTAATTTTTTTTGATTATTTAATTGGGGTGATTGAAAAATTAATTGAACTTTTTTTAAATTTTGATCACTAATTTATGTATATGTGATCTATTAGTAATAATTGTAAGATTTAATTACCTTAGGGATAACAGCGTGATATTATCAAAGAGTCCTAATCGAAGATAAAGATTGCGACCTCGATGTTGGACTAAAATTAATTTTTGGTGCAGAAGCTGGGAATATTAGGTCTGTTCGACCTTTAAAATTTTACATGATCTGAGTTTAAACCGGTGTGAGCCAGGTTGGTTTCTATCTTTAATTTAAATTTAATATTTTAGTACGAAAGGATTGAATATTAGAAATAATTTTATAGGAAAGGGGTAAAATTATTATTTTGGCAGAATAGTGCGATAGATTTAGAATCTTTATATGTAATTTATTTTACAAATAATATTGTATTTAAAAGATTTATTAATAATGATATTTTTTAGATTAATTTTATTAATTTGTGTTTTGATTGGGGTAGCTTTTTTGACTTTATTAGAGCGAAAAGTTTTAGGTTATATCCATATTCGTAAGGGCCCTAATAAAGTCGGTATATTGGGGTTAATTCAACCATTTAGAGATGCTATTAAATTGTTTACTAAAGAGCAAACTTTTCCTTTAATGTCAAATTTTAATTTATATTATTTTTCTCCTGTAATAAATTTTTTTTTATCTTTATTTTTATGAATTTGTATGCCTTTTTTTTCTGTAAATTTAAGATTTAATTTATCAATATTATTTTTTTTTGAGAGTTTCTAGATTAGGCGTTTATACTGTAATATTAGCAGGTTGGGCTTCTAATTCAAATTATGCTTTATTGGGAAGTTTGCGAGCTGTAGCTCAGACAATTTCATATGAAGTAAGTTTAGCTTTAATTTTATTATCATTTTTATATTTAATTTTAAGACTTAATATATTAGATTTTATAAAATATCAAGTAAAAATTTGATTTATTTTTTTATTATTACCTTTATCTATAATATGATTAGTTTCAAGTTTAGCTGAAACTAATCGCACTCCTTTTGATTTTGCTGAAGGAGAATCTGAGTTAGTGTCTGGATTTAATGTTGAGTATAGGAGAGGGGGTTTTGCGATGATTTTTTTAGCTGAATATAGCAGAATTTTATTTATAAGTATGCTTTGTTGTATATTATTTTTAGGAGGGGATATTTTTACTATAATATTTTTTTTTAAATTAGTTTTTATTTCATTTTTTTGAATTTGGGTTCGGGGGACTTTACCTCGATTTCGTTATGATAAATTAATATATTTAGCTTGAAAAAGTTATTTATCTGTAGCATTAAATTATTTATTATTTTTTTTTGGATTAAAATTTATAATTTTTAATTATTTTATTTAATAAAATTAAATTCTACTTATTTAATTTTATTTAATAAAATAAAAATTTTATAATTTTAGAATAATTTTAAAAATTTATAAAGTTTTTTCATTAATTATTTCTTTAACAAGCAATTTTCAATAAAATTTTTTATACTGCTTGTTAGGGGAAGAGCAAGTAAAATAAAAGAAAAGCTTTACCGAAAATTGCTTGTTAGGGGAATAGGAAGTAAAATAAAAGAAAAGCTTTACCGAAAATTGCTTGTTAGGGGAATGGCAAGTAAAATAAAAGGAAAGCTTTACCGAAAATTGCTTGTTAGGGGAATAGCAAGTAAAATAAAAGAAAAGCTTTACCAAAAATTGCTTGTTAGGGGAACAGCAAGTAAAATAAAAGAAAAGCTTTACCAAAAATTGCTTGTTTAGGGGAATAGCAAGTAAAATAAAAGAAAAGCTTTACCAAAAATTGCTTGTTAGGGGAATAGCAAGTAAAATAAAAGAAAAGTTTACCAAAAATTGCTTGTTAGGGGAATAGCAAGTAAAATAAAAGAAAAGCTTTACCGAGGGTTGCTTGTTAGGGGAATGGCAAGCAAAATAAAAGAAAAGCTTTACCGAAAATTGCTTGTTAGGGGAATAGCAAGCAAAATAAAAGAAAAGCTTTACCGAGGATTGCTTGTTAGGGGAATGGCAAGCAAAATAAAAGAAAAGCTTTACCGAAAATTGCTTGTTAGGGGAATGGCAAGTAAAATAAAAGAAAAGCTTTACCGAAAATTGCTTGTTAGGGAAATAGCAAGTAAAATAAAAGAAAAGCTTTACCGAAAATTGCTTGTTAGGGAAATAGCAAGTAAAATAAAAGAAAAGCTTTACCGAAAATTGCTTGTTAGGGAAATAGCAAGTAAAATTACCGGAAAGCTTTACCGAAAATTGCTTGTTAGGGGAATGGCAAGTAAAATAAAAGAAAAGCTTTACCGAAAATTGCTTGTTAGGGGAATAGCAAGTAAAATAAAAGAAAAGCTTTACCAAAAATTGCTTGTTAGGGGAATGACAAGTAAAATAAAAGAAAAGCTTTACCGAAAATTGCTTGTTAGGGAAATAGCAAGAAAAATAAAAGAAAAGCTTTACCGAAAATTGCTTGTTAGGGGAATGGCAAGTAAAATAAAAGAAAAGCTTTACCGAAAATTGCTTGTTAGGGGAATAGCAAGTAAAATAAAAGAAAAGCTTCACCGAGGATTGCTTGTTAGGGGAATGGCAAGCAAAATAAAAGAAAAGCTTTACCGAGGATTGCTTGTTAGGGGAATGGCAAGCAAAATAAAAGAAAAGCTTTACCGAGGGTTGCTTGTTAGGGGAATGGCAAGCAAAATACAAGAAAAGCTTTACCGAAAATTGCTTGTTAGGGGAATAGCAAGCAAAATAAAAGAAAAGCTTTACTGAGGATTGCTTGTTAGGGGAATGGCAAGCAAAATAAAAGAAAAGCTTTACCGAAAATTGCTTGTTAGGGGAATGGCAAGTAAAATAAAAGAAAAGCTTTACCAAAAATTGCTTGTTAGGGGAATGGCAAGTAAAATAAAAGAAAAGCTTTACCGAAAATTGCTTGTTAGGGAAATAGCAAGTAAAATAAAAGAAAAGCTTTACCGAAAATTGCTTGTTAGGGAAATAGCAAGTAAAATAAAAGAAAAGCTTTACCGAAAATTGCCTGTTAGGGAAATAGCAAGTAAAATAAAAGAAAAGCTTTACCGAAAATTGCTTGTTAGGGGAATGGCAAGTAAAATAAAAGAAAAGCTTTACCGAAAATTGCTTGTTAGGAGAATAGCAAGTAAAATAAAAGAAAAGCATTACCGAGGATTACTTGTTAGGGGAATGGCAAGTAAAATAAAAGAAAAGCTTTACCGAAAATTGCTTGTTAGGGGAATAGCAAGTAAAATAAAAGAAAAGCTTTACCGAGGATTACTTGTTAGGGGAATGGCAAGTAAAATAAAAGAAAAGCTTTACCGAAAATTGCTTGTTAGGGGAATAGCAAGTAAAATAAAAGAAAAGCTTTACCGAGGATTGCTTGTTAGGGGAATGGCAAGCAAAATAAAAGAAAAGCTTTACCGAAAATTGCTTGTTAGGGGAATAGCAAGTAAAATAAAAGAAAAGCTTTACCAAAAATTGCTTGTTAGGGGAATAGTAAGTAAAATAAAAGAAAAGCTTTACCATAAATTGCTTGTTAGGGGAATAGTAAGTAAAATAAAAGAAAAGCTTTACCAAAAATTGCTTGTTAGGGGAATAGCAAGTAAAATAAAAGAAAAGCTTTACCAAAAATTGCTTGTTAGGGGAATAGCAAGTAAAATAAAAGAAAAGCTTTACCGAAAATTGCTTGTTAGGGAAATAGCAAGTAAAATAAAAGAAAAGCTTTACCGAAAATTGCTTGTTAGGGAAATAGCAAGTAAAATAAAAGAAAAGCTTTACCAAAAATTGCTTGTTAGGGGAATAGCAAGTAAAATAAAAGAAAAGCTTTACCAAAAATTGCTTGTTAGGGGAATAGCAAGTAAAATAAAAGAAAAGCTTTACCAAAAATTGCTTGTTAGGGGAATAGCAAGTAAAATAAAAGAAAAGCTTTACCAAAAATTGCTTGTTAGGGGAATGGCAAGTAAAATAAAAGAAAAGCTTTACCAAAAATTGCTTGTTAGGGGAATGGCAAGTAAAATAAAAGAAAAGCTTTACCAAAAATTGCTTGTTAGGGAAATAGCAAGTAAAATAAAAGAAAAGCTTTACCGAAAATTGCTTGTTAGGGGAATAGCAAGTAAAATAAAAGAAAAGCTTTACCGAAAATTGCTTGTTAGGGGAATAGCAAGTAAAATAAAAGAAAAGCTTTACCGAAAATTGCTTGTTAGGGGAATAGCAAGTAAAATAAAAGAATAGCTTTACCGAAAATTGCTTGTTAGGGGAATAGCAAGTAAAATAAAAGAAAAGCTTTACCGAAAATTGCTTGTTAGGGGAATAGCAAGTAAAATAAAAGAAAAGCTTTACCGAAAATTGCTTGTTAGGGGAATAGCAAGTAAAATAAAAGGAAAGCTTTACCGAAAATTGCTTGTTAGGGGAATAGCAAGTAAAATAAAAGGAAAGCTTTACCGAAAATTGCTTGTTAGGGGAATAGCAAGTAAAATAAAAGAAAAGCTTTACAAAATTGCTTGTTAGGGGAATAGCAAGTAAAATAAAAGAAAAGCTTTACCGAGGATTGCTTGTTAGGGGAATGGCAAGTAAAATAAAAGAAAAGCTTTACCAAAAATTGCTTGTTAGGGAAATAGCAAGTAAAATTTGCTTGTTAGGGGAATAGCAAGTAAAATAAAAGGAAAGCTTTACCAAAAATTGCTTGTTAGGGAATAGCAAGTAAAATAAAAGAAAAGCTTTACCGAGGATTGCTTGTTAGGGGAATGGCAAGTAAAATAAAAGAAAAGCTTTACCGAAAATTGCTTGTTAGGGGAATAGCAAGTAAAATAAAAGAAAAGCTTTACCGAAAATTGCTTACTAAAAAATGAGAAATAAAATAAATCTTAAAAATTATTTAAAAAATTACAAGTGACTAAAATAGTCACTATTAAAATAATTTTGTTAGGAAAATTTCGATAAATAAAAACTAATTTTTAAAATTATTTAAAAAAATTATTATTTAGTTAAAAAATCATTCCTAAAATAATTTTGTTAGAGAAATTTCGAAAAATAAAAACTTATTTTTAAAATTATTTAAAAAAAATTATTATTTAGTTAAAAAATCATTCCTAAAATAATTTTGTTAGAGAAATTTCGAAAAATAAAAACTAATTTTTGAAATTATTTAAAAAAAATTATTATTTAGTTAAAAAATCATTCCTAAAATAATTTTGTTAGAGAAATTTCGAAAAATAAAAACTAATTTTTAAAATTATTTAAAAAAAATTATTATTTAGTTAAAAAATTATCCCTAAAATAACCTTTGTTAGGAAAATTTCGATAAATAAAAACTAATTTTTAAAATTATTTAAAAAAAATTATTATTTAGTTAAAAAATCATCCCTAAAATAACCTTTGTTAGGAAAATTTCGATAAATAAAAACTAATTTTTAAAATTATTTAAAAAAAAATTATTATTTAGTTAAAAAATCATCCCTAAAATAATCTTTGTTAGAGAAATTTCAAAAAATAAAAACTAATTTTTAAAATTATTTAGAAAAAATTATTATTTAGTTAAAAAATCATTCTTAAAAATAATCTTTGTTAGAAAAATTTCGAAAAATAAAAACAAATTTTTTAAATTATTTAAAAAATTACAAGTGACTAAAATAGTCACTATTTAAATAATTTTGTTAGAGAAATTTCGAAAAATAAAAACTAATTTTTAAAATTATTTAGTTAAAAAATCATTCCTAAAATAATTTTGTTAGAGAAATTTCGAAAAATAAAAACTAATTTCTAAAATTATTTAAAAAAAATTATTATTTAGTTAAAAAATCATTCCTAAAATAACCTTTGTTAGAGATATTTCGATAAATAAAAACTAATTTTTAAAATTATTTTAAAAAATTATTATTTAGTTAAAAATTATCCCTAAAATAATCTTTGTTAGGAAAATTTCGAAAAATAAAAATTAATTTTTAAAATTATTTAAAAAAATCATTATTTAGTTAAAAAATCATCCCTAAAATAATCTTTGTTAGGAAAATTTCGAGAAATAAAAACTAATTTTTAAAATTATTTAAAAAAAATTATTATTTAGTTAAAAAATCATTCTTAAAAATAACTTTTGTTAGGAAAATTTCGATAAATAAAAACTAATTTTTAAAATTATTTAAAAAAAAATATTATTTAGTTAAAAAATCATTTCTAAAATAATTTTGTTAGGGAAATTTCGAAAAATAAAAACTAATTTTTAAAATTATTTAAAAAATTATAAGCGGCTAAAATAGTCCCTA